GCGCCTTTCGCACAATATCTGAGGATGCAGTGTGTGTTATTTCCGGTACTCTGCCTCTGAGTCCTAGCTGAGGAAAGACGGAACCTGTATCAGCGAAAAAGGTCAACCACACTGCGCCCTGAAGAACTTAGAAGCGAAGAACGGCAACACAGCATCGCAAGATGGCAACGAGAGTGGAACGCTTCAGATAAGGGTCGGTGGATGTACCGTCTCATACCTCGGATTGATGAGTGGTTCAACCGGAGTCATGGTGAGATCAACTATTACTTAACGCAGATGTTATCAGGACACGGATGTTACCGGAAGTATCTCCACTGCTTTAAGCATGACGATACCCCAGAGTGCCCGTCCTGTTCAGGGGTCAATGAAGATGCGGAGCATGTCTTCTTTGTGCGTCCATGTTTCAACCAACAGCGTAATGAGTTAGAAAAGATTTTGAAGAAGAGAACCCAACCAGAGTCAATGGTAGAGGCAATGTTGTCGTCAGAAGCTGTCTGGAATGCAACGAACACTTTTGCCACAGAAGTGCTTATAGAGCTGCGTTCCATCGAGAGAAAAAGAGCAAAAGACAGAATCTAGAAGGAAGATAACATCTTAGCCACCAGAAGGAAGAGTGGCAGCTAATTCCTCCCCCCGCGAAGAAATGCCTTACGGCGGTACCATGGGGGATCAGAGGATAGAAGAGAAAGGGGCATAGGGTTTAGTGGGTAGGGGCGTCAGCGTCGAGTTTTAGTATGACGCTGCGTCGAGCGCCACATATCCGGCCAACATCTATGCCTAGAATCCGTAAAAAGGATTCCCCCCCCCCAAAAAAAAAAACACACACACACACACACACATACGGACATCATTACAGAAACATTCGGGGAAGCTTCCTAGAACCTCAAAACGTCAACATCCGTTGAAAACTCAATTTTTGAGAAACGGGGTGAAACCAATAACTTCCCAAATTTTGAAAATTTTTAATTTTCTTAACGGGAAGTTAAAACATTGAGAAATCTTGATTTGAAAATAAAGTCTTTCTTAACGATATTGTTTAAAAATTACACACGTAAAAGTAATTTTGTCCTACTAGAAAAAATGAAATTTCTTCGCGGTAAATAAATTATACCTTGAAATTAAATTTTACTATTTTTTAATTTAAAAAATATATAAAATTGTCATGAAATATCAACAATTGTGATTGTTAGATTTAAATAATGAAATAATAAAATTAAATAGGGTGTCAATAATAGATGCTTTTACCTTAACAATAAATTTTTAATATTTATTTTCAGCCACAAGATCATCAGACGGATCTCCAGAGTCATTGGGCCTAGAAAGAATGCCTGCTGAAATGTATGTACCCAACCAGGAACAATGGCTGGAACTTCGCGCTGAAAAAAATTACAAATTATATTGTTGTACTGAGTAATCACTTCCAAACTATACTAAATAATTATATTGATTTTATTTTTGTAATTTACATTTGTTGAATATTAGACAGGTAAGTTGACGGTGTGAAACCTTAGTGGGAAGCCCCTCGGCTCAAGTTACTCGACTTTTTTTGTCCTGGCATTTACGCATCTCGTACTCACACATATTTAATTCTATATATATATCAATAAATCAAGTTTAGATTTTTATAATGTAACAAAAAAAATCGGATATATACTTGTAATAAGATCAGATCTTATTTCTTAATGCTTGTTCTCGCGTGAAACCGCAATGTTTCACAATTCTCATGTTAAACATTTATTTATTGTTAATAAATATTTAAAATATATATTAATTAATATTAACTTATTAATGTTTTTTTTTTTTTTTAGAAGCTTTAGAGTTAATTTATGATAAAAAGGATTAATTTTGCTGCGTACATAGGAAAATAAAAAAAAAAGAAAGGGACTGGTTTTACGACCCTCGGTCTTTTATCCTCCAGTTACTCGGGAGGAATCAACGCGAAAGCATCAACTCTTGTAATTAATAAGTTAAAATTATTTTGTTAATATGTCGGCGAGTGAAACAACATTTTTAACTCATTCAAATGAATCAGCTTATCATAAATGCAGAAGAGTGATTAGAAATCAAGCTACTAAATTTCGACAATTTCAATTTTGTTTGTGTGCTATTATACTGTAAGTAGTTAAAATTTCAATTGAAGACAAATTGATATTTTTTTATTTATATTTATATTTATTCGTAAATTTATTTCGATTTGGCTGAAACTTCATCTTTAAAAAAAATTGTTTTTAAATCTCAGAAAGAATTTCAATGGAGTAAAAAAAAATAGAAAAATTTCAAATAAATCAAAAGTGAACAATATGGTATGAAATGCACTGTATAAATTAAATTTATCATCATATTTTTAAATTATGAATCTATATTTTTAAGAGAATAAGAAAAATTTCGTTTCGAAGATAGTCATATGATAAAATTGTTTTTTTTTTTTTAGTGAAATTTAGTGTCATTGCAAAGGTCTTGATTTGAATTTGTGCCTTTTCAAGGTTTCATATCATTCTCACCAATAGTCAATTTATTATAAGTATTTAGGCTGCATTCGAAAATGCTCTATCTCTAGATACATAATTAAGAAATGATCTTGTTTCTAGTGAGCTATTGACATTTTTAAAGATATAAGCTCATCCTGATAATACACTTATCGAGACCTTTCATTTGAGTACTCACATCAGTTTTTCATATATTTATATATTTTATATTTATGTATATATGAAAAATATATAAAAACGCATGTGGGTACTCGAATGAAAGCTCTTGATGAGTGTAACATCAGGATGAGCATATCTTTAAAAACTTCAATAATTAAGGAATGACCTTGTATTTTGTGAACTATTGACATTTTTAAAGATATAAGCTCATTCTGACATTACACTTATCGAGACCTTTCATTTGAGTACCTACATCAATTTTTCATATATTTTATATATTTATATATAATATATATGAAAAATATATCAAAATGCATGTGGGTACTCAAATGAAAGCTCTTGATGAGCGTAACATCGGGATGAGCTTATATATTTAAAAACGTCAATAGTTAAGAAAGTACAGTGTAATTTAACAAAAGTCATTATATAATGAAGCAAAACTATATGTATTTATACTTCACAATTCACGGCAGTCACATAGTGACTATAAGGTTGCTAGTTTATTTAAATTAACATCACTAAAAGTTTAAAAAATATCCACATGTCTTCAATCACCTGATTAATTTAATGAACTATCACTAAAATTCCTTAAATCAATTACAGATTGGTGTTAATAATGATTTTGGTAGCAGTAGTGAGTTATTCTCTCAACGAAATCCATTTAAACGAAGAAATATCCCAAAAAAACGGAACATTTACCTTAAAACTATCAATGTCACCAAATTTCATCCCCTCCTACCACGACCTAAGTGACCAAGAACTATCAGAAATGATCAAAGCGGGGCAACTTGCAATAATCCATCGCCATTACTTGGACTCCCAAGCAACATTTCACCCTCTGGACGAAGTATCTCCCAACACTCGTCACCAGAACGCAGTGAAGACAAGTTTGTTCGCCGGAAAACTGGCGCTGGCTGGTGTCGGAGAATTAGGAGCTACCAGATACTTCCAATCAATAAGAAAAGACACGGACATAATATCCCGAGATATTTATTTCGACGGTAACTGGGCTCCAAGTGGCAGCAGCTGCAGCGAGTATTATATTTCTCGATGTCACGACACCAGTAAGTACAGAACTTACGACGGAACTTGCAACCACCCGGAGAATCGTGGCGCAGCGTTTACACCATTTTCAAGAAGCCTTCCACCAGATTACGCAGACGGAATTGAAGCCCCACGAGTGGCTAAGTCCGGAAAAGCATTGCCCTCTGCAAGGATGATAAGTCTATTAGCCCACAGACCAGTTTCCAGTTCAAATCCTTCATTTACTGTAATGCTCGCAGTTTTCGGTCAATTTTTAGACCATGACATCACTGCTACTGCTCTGAGCCAAGGTACGAACGGCAGTTCTCTCTCCTGTTGTCCTCCAGACAATCTAGAACACCCAGAATGTTTTCCCGTGTTCGTAGGCCCGGGAGACCCTGTCTACGACGTAGCTGGCTCCAAGTGCATGGAGTTCGTAAGATCTGCTCCAGCTATGCAATGCAAACTGGGTCCTCGCCAGCAGCTGACCCAAGTCTCAGCCTTTATCGACGGCTCTACAATTTACGGCTCAGATAAATCCATCGCAGATTCTCTGAGAGATTTCAAAGACGGCCAGTTAAAAATGTACAGACTTGCTAACGGTAGGACTTTATTGCCTCAAAGCACGGACTTCAACGACGGCTGCAACAGAGAAGTTGAGAACAAGCGTGGGAGATATTGTTTCTTGTCCGGAGACGCGAGGGCTAATGAAAATTTACATTTAACAACCATGCACTTGCTCTGGGCAAGACAGCATAATTTTATAGCTTCTGAGTTGCAGAAAATAAATCCTCATTGGGACGACGAGAGACTTTACCAAGAAAGCAGGAGAATTGTTGGCGCTCAGATGCAGCACATCACTTACAGAGAATTCGTTCCTGTGATAATCGGCAAAAGTGAAACTCACAAACGCAAGCTTGTTCCTTTGGAGTCAAATACTTACCGCGAATCTTCTGGAGGTGATCCAGCAATTGCTAATAATTTTGCTTCAGCGGCGTTTCGCTTCGCACATACTCTTCTTCCGGGATTGATGAAAATGACAGATGCTGAGAAAGGAACTGCTGATTATATCCAGCTCCATAAAATCCTCTTCAATCCTTACAGCTTGTACGGAGCCAGCGGGGTTAAGAGTGCAATTATTTCTGCTACGACGAATTTCATACAAAAAACTTCGACGCATGTTTCATCGCAGTTGACGAGACACCTCTTTGAAGACCCGCTGTCAAACACCAATTATAGTTATAACTCTACCCATCATCTACCGTTTGTGCCTTGTGGGCTAGATCTGGTCTCGCTTAACATCCAGCGAGGGAGAGACCATGGTCTGCCCGGGTACACTGCTTGGAGGGAGTACTGCGGGCTTATAAGACCTAGGAATTTTCTTCAGCTTAAAGGAATCGTTGACTCAGACAGCTTTGAACAGTTACCGTTGCTCTACGAAGACGTTGATGACGTTGATTTATACACTGGCGCGCTCGCCGAGATCAGAATGTCCGATGGATTAATTGGCCCTACTTTCACGTGTCTCATTAGCCAGCAGTTCCAGAGGCTCCAGTCCGGTGATCGTTATTGGTACGAGTCTTCGCAGTCGCCTTACCCGTTTACTCCAGGTTAATTTTTATTAATTTAATTCTGAAAGATTAATGTAAAGCAGTTAATTTATCTTAATAATGTTTACTTTGCAGATCAACTTGTCCAATTACGAAGATCTTCTCTGGCAAAATTAATCTGCGATTGCTCGGATGACATTGATGAAATCCAGCCGCTAGTTATGCAATCGGCGGGAGATGGGAATCCCATAACTCTATGTGACGATATAGAGGCCGTGGATTTTTCTGCTTGGAAAGAAGCTAATTGATTTTTAAAATTTTAAAAGACAAATTTTTATTTACTTGTATGAAAAACATTATAATTAACTTTGTAATTTTTGTAATTTGATTTTTTTTTAATACTATTTATTCATCACCATCACCAATATTTGAGTTGTCGTTTTCTTCATCTTGATCATCGTCCAAAATATCGGATAAAACATCATCATCGCTTTGAACTGATGAATCAGTCACTGAGGTTGGTCTCTCATCAGTTGAAACAGATCCCTAAAATTAAAAATTTTTATTTATTTACTTATTCAATTTAATCAGCCCTAGAACAAGTGTTTCCTATGGGCCGTAAAGTACAGAATATTACATTCACAGTGAGTAATTTTATATACATAAAAGTGAAACATATTACACTTATATATTATATATAAAGTTAATTGATTTGAATTAAATTAAGGTAAGTTACTGAATCTAAGCATTATTAAATGTCATTATAAAAACTAACTGTAGGCAGAAGTTTTAAATTCTTTCAAAGTTCTTAGTGCAACAATGTCTGAAGGTAGTTCGTTCCATAATTTTATTGCTGTTAATAAGAAAGACTGCTCAAACGTAACTGTCTTGCACTGCGGTTGACAGAGTACGTCATTGCGACGATTTGATCGACCCCTAACTGTCAGCAATATGTAAAAGTTACTGTGTAATAACTTCGTCATAATTTAAATGCAACATCTTGTACACTACACCTGTAATAAAAAATTCCCGTCTACCCCGTAAACATAACCACCCGAGCTTTATATAAATTTATGTTAGGGTGGTGCAAAAAAACCTACTAACATTTTTTCACTCGAGACTCAAAAAAAAAAAATAGTTTTTGATGTTTTAAGAGCTCTCTTTAAAAGACAGCTTAAAAAAAAAATTTTAAAAGGTCGCTCGAAATTTTTTTAAATTTCAAAAATCGTCAAAAATCAAATTTTTTTTTTTTATTTCTTTTTCTAGTTACGTTATAATTTTATAGATCAAAAAAATGGTTTTCCTGAAAGTTTCAGTTCAAAATGTGAATTTTAAAAGGTCGCTCATAATTTTTTTTAAGTTTATTAGTGACTATTTAATTGGATTAGCATTTTTTGACTCTAAAATTAAAAAAAAATATTATTGACACTGGCCTAGTTATTTGACATTTGCAATTTTATTTTAATTAAAAAAATAAAATTTTCTCAAAAAAATAATTATATTGAAATTTATAATTCAAAAATTATATTTATCAATTTATTAGAGTTGAATTGTTTTTTTTTATTGAATTAAAATAAAATTGCAAGAGTCAATAACTAGGCGAGTGTCAATAACTGAGTCTTTTACCTTATATTTAGCAAAATATAAAATATATTTATATAATTTTTAATTTATAAAAAACTTTACAATCATAAAAAATTACCTGAGATAATATTGCTTGACCATCAAGATTCTTATTAAGAAGATTACCCATCCAGAAAGCGCCGCTGGTATTATTAAACACTAGCATTCCTTTAACAGAGTAAACCATTTTCTCCAAAATAGTTTTGGCATTTGGAATTAATTTGGATAAAGCTATGTCTTTTTGTTCAGTACTGTGACAGCAGATTGCATTCAAATATCTAGTCCCTCCCTGAACCATTTTAATGGTTGATGTAACTTCATCGGCATGATTTCGCAAACAGTGTTCAAAAGTGGGAATTGCTGACTCGAGGAAAATCTTCAACAGGGCTGGTGTACATCTCAAGTAAGCCATCAACATGCTTTTAGTGGAAACCTTTTTACAAATCGCTACTAGGCGTGATAAATTTAGAGCTACTTCCTTCCAGACTTTCAATTTTTGAACGTCACTAAAATAAAATTTTTTATTATTACCATTTATTAATTCTTATCAAATCTAACATCCAATTTTATTTTTCACTCACGTCATTGCAGGCTGTAAGGCAAGCTTAGTTCCTTTTAAAAAGGCTTCGTACAATTTTTGGTACAAATTATGCAAATTCGAGCGCATAATTGTCGGTAGTCTCGTCAACTTATCTTGAGGCTTCTCTAAAGTATTAGCTTCTTCAGGCAGCCATTCCAAGACTGACGATACTGTTTCTAAAGGATTTGGCTCATGTTCAAGCCAGTTTTTCAGCAGCCTCGACACCGACGATCTAAACAGAGGACCAGTCTGTCGATCATTGGGCCATTCCAGGCACAAAAATCCATACGCCATTTTCGCTACAATTAATAATTTATTTTTAGACTTAAAAAAAATCTTTTTTATTTTAATAAAAAATAAAATACCTTGTTTGTCTTTTTTTTCTCGGCTAAACGTTGTCGAGTGTTTCATTAAAGCTTTACACGTGTCAACAAGCTCAGAAGCTATCGAAATTTGCGTAGCAACGTCAGCTAATGACTCGAAATATTTGTAAGATTCAGAAACTAATTCTCTAGCAGATCGAAGAGATAAATTTGATTCATCTACTTGGCCAGCAAGTGTTCTAAGTCCCTCTAAAAATTTACATGAATATAATAATCAAAAATAAAAAAAAATTTTTTTTTTTAAGAGGGTATTCTAGTCTAGAACCATGAATTTCAGGTAATTTTTTGAAGTGCCATAAAAAAAAAGGCAATCAATATTTCTAGTATCCATTTTTTTATGTTATTTATTAACATTATAAGAATTCAGAACAAAATAAAAAAAGTTGAAAATTCAAAAAATTAGCAACTGATAAACGGTCAATAATGTTCTGGATTGTTCTAAAAATTTTTAAAACATTGTATAAAATTTAAAAGTAGAAATTCTTAGAACGATCCAGAAAATTTATTAATTAGTGGAGATAAATTTTGCGACTGTATGAAGCTAAAAGTAGAGCCCACACTTCAGTTGATTTTTTACAAAAATTGTTAATTTATATCAACAAATAACTGTACTATTAAAAATGACCCGGCGAAACGGATATTCACAGCTTGTAAAAAAAAAAAATATTAATCTAGAGTAATGCCGCTATGGCTGGAACTACGGTCATCCCCAAATTTCAATTTTTACTGTTTTAAAAAAATTCGAAAAAGTCAAAAAAATTAGTAAAAAAAAATTTTCTTTTTTTTTTTTTTTTTTTTTTTTTTTTTTTTTCAGGCAGTCGCCATTTTTTGAAAAAATTTTTTTTCAACTTTTCCATAATTCCAGCCATATCGACATTACTCTAGATTAATAATCTTTTTTATTTTTTTATTTCAGATTGCTAGGAGAGTTGGAATCGTGGGTATAGTTTAAGTTACTTGCCAATTTTTTGAGACCCCCCATTTTATCTGCTAATTTTTTGAATTTTCAAAATTTTTTTGTATTCTTATAAGGTAAAAGACTCAGTTATTGACACTGGCCTAGTTGATTGACACTTGCAATTTTATTTTAATTAAAAAAATAAAATTTTCTCAAAAAACCAATTATCTCAAAATTTATAATTCAAAAAATATATTTATTAATTTATTAGAGTCGATTTGTTTCGTTTAATTAAAATAAAATTGCAAGTGTCAATAACTAGTTCAGTGTCAATAACTGGGTCTTTTACCTTAATGTTAATAAATAACATAAAAAATGTATAGTAAAAATATTGACTGCCTTTTTTTTACGGCACTTCAAAAAATTACCTGAAATTCATGCTTCTAGACTAGAATCCTCCCTTAATATTTACCTCTTAATAATTCATGATGCGCTGGATTATTAAATCCCTTCCAATTAAAAATCGCAGTAAGAAGACTTAAAATCAGTCTGAATGCATAATTATGCTGACTACTCTCTTCAACTCTCAATTTATCAACAAAATCCGACAACTTCATACAAATTTTCGATAGCTGACTAATCAAATCTTTCATAAATTTTTCCGTGACATTATCTTCATTAAAACTGGCAAGTAACTCTTTAATAATAAAACAAACCTGTCCCGTCGAAACATTATCAACATTACTTTGTGACATTTGAACAGGTATAGTAACATCAAGCAGATACAAAATTTCCGCATCTAATCGTCTAAAGTACATGGGATTTTTAGTACTGAGTAGTGACCCCATTTCCCAGGATTCCCATTCAGGTAAAGTTTTCTCCGCGACGCTTTTGTCTTTGTCTTTGTCTTCGGTTCCTTTTTTTCCCTTCTTGCTGCTCTTTTTCTCAACCTTATTAAACGAGGGCAGCGGAAACGAATGAAAGTAACACGGCGGGGCTTGATAACGCGCATCAGCCAACGACAGCAAAGTCGCTAGCTCTCCTTGCAACTGCATTACATTAGCTAGTCGCTTAGAAATTAGCCTCTGTAAAAGCGGATTTCGCTCGGTCACACAAGAATTTATTAGTTCACGGAACCAATTAATACAATGAAACATAAGATCTATTGTCTGCGCATCCGGAAGATCTAGATCCGCTGGCATTAAAACCGCGCAGTTAAAAAACTCGCTGATTTTCAATCTTTCATTGCCTATATGCTGGTTACAAATTTTCATTAACCTCAGCAGAGTTGGTGCAATTCCTTCGTACTTCCCCGAACCAAATTTAACGAGAAGTCCCTGAAGGTCATTAGAAGCATTCAATCTAAAGGTAGGCTTCAGCGGACCGTCGTAACTGTCTGTTATGTAGACATTAAAAAACTCATCTTCAATTAGCTTGATAATTTCATTCAAAAATTCCACTTTTATGTCATCATTCTGCGCTATGATACTGCCCAAGGTGTCGTAAAAAAATCCACGTGACCTCGGACACTCTTTAACACCACTCAGAATTTTTTTAAAAATATCCAAAGCCATTTTTAGCTCTTCCTCGCTTGTCGCAAGATGTTTTATGGCCATGACACCTCCTGCGACTCCTTTAGATTTAACAATTCCATCGTGACAAGATAATTGTTTCGACAATAAAATAAACAGGTCGTCTCTCAGAGTATCGGTGATTGTACTAGAGCTAGCGCAAAGTGCGTGTAACAAATCATTGAGCATAGTGACTTCTTTAAGGTCAAGTTTTTCCATTTTTTCAAGCAAAATTCTTAAATAATGACAGTGAGCTTGCAAATACCGACGCTCGTCTCTGTTCTTAGTCATTTTGCACAAAATTGCAAGAGCGTTCTTGGCAGTCTGATCATTATTACCCATCAGCACGATTAATTTTTCAACAATTTCTCGCTGCTTGTGAATCAGCTCGCCGTGAATTAGAAACTGATGGCGAAACCAATCGGTAGTGAAGTCTATCAGGACACCGTCCTCGGATTTTAACAAATTACTCGCCATATTCAAAGCCGCTGACTGCAAATCTTTAACGACTTCTTGATAGCCGGAGTAGAAGTCATTAAGCAGACTCGAACGGTAGAACGCAGTCTTGATGTGCTGCTTGAGTATAGCCTCGGCTTTTTTTTTCTTAACCGTTCCTTCGTATAGAAGCAGCAGAATAATTAGATCGAATGGCTTGGCTTGCTTGTTGGTGCTTGTTGAAGCGACTACGTTTATCGCTGCATTGGCCATCTCTTTACTGAGAACTATTACCATCCTCAGCGCGCTTACTATGATAGTTTGGTTTGAGTAATACTCCTCAGAGTTCTCTCCGTCTAGTGGTTGGAGTTCAAGCACTCGTAAGTTACGCAATACTGTTTGACAGACGTCGATCGATGGGCAGTCGTCTAAAGTAAACTTAATTATTGCTGCCATCTGATCTATGTGACAATTGCGGCCTAGTAGAGTCAGCATGGTTTCGCGGAGCTCTTCCAAAAATTCTTTTCCCAGCGATAAGTTACTAATGCAATCTAAAATTACGTTTGTTAATTCTCGCTGGGCTTCCATGAGCTTGCAGAGGATTTCTGCTATCATTTGATGCTGGGTGTCGGTCACTATGTCTGGTATAAATGTTATTAATTCACGCTGAAACCATATCGGACTTGTTTCTAATAATTCTTCGAGTTTCAGTGTTAATGCTTCGGGGTCGTTTACTACTTCAAGGAAACGCAGCTGCTGGAGTAACTGATAAGCCCATGGTACACTGTCTGGTGAATCTCTAAATTAAATAATTATTAATTTTTTTTTTGTAATTACTAAAGGCTAGTTTTTGAATCTGGGATAAAAATATAATCTATATTATTAAGAGGGTAAGCAAAATTTTTATTGGCCAGTGTATTTATATGATAAAATGGGTTCTTGGGGTTAAATTTAGTATCTTTGGAAAAGTCTTGACCTGAAGTTGTGCCTTTTCATAGTTTCATATTATTCTCACTAATAGTTAATTTATGATGATAAATATTTAGGCTGCACTTAAAAGTGATCTATCTCTAGATACATAATTAAAAAATGACCTTGTTTCTTGTGAACTATTGACATTTTTAAAGATATAAGCTCATCCTGATGGTACACTCATCGAGACCTTTCATTTGAGTACCCACATCAATTTTTCATATATTTTATATATTTATATATATATATATATATATATATATATATGTATATATGAAAAACATCAAAACTGCATGTGGGTACTCAAATGAAAGCTCTTGATGAGTGTAACATCGGGATGAGCTTATATCTTTAAAAACGTCAATATTTAAGAAAGTACAATGCAATTTAACAAAAGTCATTAATTAATCAAGCAAAATTAAAATAAATAACAGATAAATTTATTTACTTAACTTTGATCTAAATGAATTCTTCTGTATTTTTTTTCTTGTTATTCATAATTTCTTTTAGTTCACAAGTCACGGCAGTCACATAGTGATTTCAAGGTTGCTAATTATTTATTATAGAACAATTTATCTACTTACGCAGCTACAATAGTCTCATTTAATTTCGTCAGCAGACTATTTAAAACGCTACTCTGTATAGCAGGAACTTGTAAAAAAATTTTTATAATCGAAGAGCTTTTAAATGAATCCATTTGACGACCATCGGAAGAGTTTATCGTCGTTGGATTCAAGCATTTATTGTCTTGTCCAAGATCTTCTGACAGATAATTGTCGAACTCTTTTAAAACATTTTCCTTGGAATAATCACCGGAGAGTAACGCTTGCTGTATTTTTTTAACCGTAAGCAACGGATCGTTTTCTGAAAAGTATCAGTAAGTATTTAAATTTTTAATTGAATAGTTTAATAAAGAATTACCTAAAATATAATGAGTGTCGCTTTCATCTGGCAAGATTCCAATGTGACTGAAAAATTGACTCAAGACATTTGCTGTTTGAGGACGATTCCGTGGAACGAATCCTGTAGGCTTGCGACTGACTCTAGGGTCTCTCGCTTCTTTTTCAGGAGCTTTTTTAACTGGGCTCGGAGATTCTGTAAAAAATTAAGCATTAAAAATCACTCAAGTTTATAATTAGTAAATTAAAATTATAAATTATTTACCTGAAACTCGGACTCGTTTGGCTCGAGGGGAAGAAAAAATATCTGGTAGTTCATTTTCTTTGGCGGAGCTGTCAGGAGACTCGTCAATGATGTCGAGGTTTGGTTCAGACTCACGTCTTTTATTGGTACCCGAAGTTGATGGTGCAATTAAGTTTGATTGTTGTCTGAGTAGACTAGTCTTAGAACTCCGTTGTGACGCTCTTAGTAATTCCGTGTTTGACGTACGTTGTGATCTTTGTGAAAGATTACCACTAGCAAATGCATCATTGACTTCTTCTGTTGACGCTGTAGAAGATTGAGTGTCTCGAGTGTTTACATTCCGATGCAACCCTCGTGATTTTATCTTTCGTCGGTCCATTTTTCAGATCTAGATTTTGATTTTAAAAATTATTGACAGATATCAGCTGATTTATTTAAACTAAATTATTTTTACAAACATTAAATGATTATCTAATAAGAACATAACATATTTATGAAAATTAATTTACCAGGTATTTGTTAATTTTTTTGAACAAATAAATTATGGCAAAAAAAATGAAAAAAAAATTGACCTCCAGAAATTAAAAAAAAAAAAAAAAAATTAAAAATACAATTTTTTAATAATAATTTTTTGAAACAAATTTATTTGTCAAATAAAATTAACAAAATTTTATTTAAATGCTATTTATTGTATATAAACATTCCTAATCATTCTACACATGAAAATGTAACATATTGTTGTAAATTGCCGAGGGTGTTTCTGCCAACTTTAATGTTATACCATAAATATAAATGTAATTATAACTGTTAAATGATATTTTAATATAAAAATTAATTTAGCATATACTTTTAATAATTTTAAGAATTTTATAACCAAAAAAAAAAAAATGATATTAAAGTTAGTTGTCCCTTAACCATTTTTTAATTTTATTTAACAAAAAAATTTGTTCCCAAAAATAATTAAAAAAAAATTGCATTTTCAATTTATCAAAATTTCTAAATGTCAATTTTTTATTCATGAAAATTAATTTAGCATATATTTAATAATTTAAAAAATTGCATAACAAATAAATAATGGCAAAAAAAATTAGAAAAAAAAATTGACATCTAGAAATTTTAAAAATTAAGAAATGCAATTTTTTTAAAATAATTTTTTGGAACAAATTTTTTTGTAAAATAAAATTAAAAATTTGTTGAGTGACCGCTAACTTTAATGTCATTTTTTATTTTTTTTATTTATTTGATAAAAAAATTCTTAAAATTATCAAATATCTGCTAAATTTATTTTCATGTAATTTATTTATTAGAAAAATTATTAAAATTATTAAATAACTGCTAAATTAATTTTCATAAAAAAATTGACATGTAGAAATTTAAAAAAATAAAAAATGCAATTTTTTTAAACAAATTTGTTTGTTAAAAATATATGACACTGAAGTTAGCAGACGTCTAAAAATTTATAATTTTTTTTATTTATTAAATTACAACTAAAAAAATATTTTTAAAAAATTGCACTTATAGTTTTTCAAGTTTTTTACATATGAAATTTTTTCAATAAAAAATTTCTAAAAATTTTGAAATGTCAGCTAACTTGATTTTCATTAAAAATGTTGTTTAGTGACTGCTAACTTTAATGTTATTATTTTGATTGTCAGTTTGTCAGTTTCTGACAAAATAACATTTGTTAGCCTCTTATAGATTTTTATATTCATCAATTCACACAAAAATCATTTCCAAAAAAAAAACAATAAATGTAGAATTACATTATTTGTAATCAAATATAATATAATTAAAAATAAATATACGTTTGTACTTACAAAAATAGCTAATACGTATTACCTAAACAGTAATTTAGTAACTTTAACCTGCACAAACTTGTTTAGTTGTTTACATTCTCGGAACTCCCTCACAAGTTTTTTACCGCCATTTTATAAAAATATGTTCAGCGCCACTAACGGCGGGAAAACAAACTAATTCAAATTGGGTGACCTTGAGTAACGGGGCACTCGCTCTGACATGCCATAGCGTTGACTTTCAAGTTGGTTATTTGAGCGAGAGCCGGGTAATAAAATAAAAAGAGTGAACACGTACCGTAAATAACGTATCAAAGAGAGCAATAACGACAACTGAGTGATTCTGGTGGGAGGAAGCAAGAGAGAGAGGAAAATGAAAGGCCGTGCCCGAGTAAGGAGAACAAAGAACGTAAACAGCGTATACGTAGGCTTAGGCTGGGTGAGTTGAAATGAAAGAACTAATATAATAATGTATTAATGTATATTGTGTTGCAGATTCTGGTGTTGAGAGTTGAAACGCCAACTCAGACTTCAGACTGCTGAGTGCAGAGTAAGTACCGAGTACCGAGTATTCCGAGTACTGAACTACTGAACACTTAAACACAGACGAGACTCAGTACCCGGGATTGCGGATATAATAGTTATAGTTATCAGTTATAAGTGAAAAATAGGGTAAATAATTTTAATTTTAATGGTAATGGTAATTTAAAGAGTAAAGGGCATTAAGTTTTATTTTGCCGCGAGCATGAGAACTGCTGGTATGGCGTACAAGAAGAAATGAAGAAATGCCGTACCCTTACCATACTTACCATACCTAGAACTCTCAAGGCTTCTTTAAAAGTGTTACGGTGAACGATTCACTGGCTCTCGTGTGACTCAGTACCCAGCACCCAATATTATATCCAGTTCCATACTTGTTACTCTGCTAGTTAACGTCCAAGAACTGTTGCTTTACATATTTTTACCCGGTCACTGTGTTATGTGTATTTACATTTTATTAATATATTTTAATAACGGCGTATTTAATATACGATTTACTTGAATGAACTTGTGTCATTGATAAGTCAATTGATTAATTGGTAATTTTTATTTCTAGTGTGTTTTATAAATAATATTCATTGTTTTTAATAATAATGTAATAGGTAAGTTAAAAATTTTTTTATTTTTAATTTCTTAGTAAAACTTAAACAATTAAAATAAATAACAGATAAATTTATTTATTTATTTAACTTTGATCTAAATGAATTTTTTTTTTTTTGTTATTCATAATTTTTATTGCAGAGGTTTATACATATTAGCAATTTAATTAAAAAAATAGAGTAAATAGCGATTAAATAAATCACCGGATACGGTGAGAAAATTAACAATAAAATTCACTGAGATAAATAAAGGTGATTTATGACTCATTGTATACGTTTATGACAAAACTGGTTTTATAAAAAATAGCCGAAGGAAAAAAAAGAAACTGAGTTTTAATTGTAATTATTTTTTATAAATAATTTATTTATAAATTACTGTATTGGAATTTTCACTGGTATTATTTGGCAAAGCAGTTGTGAGAGCGTAACAAAATATAGAAAGTAATTAAATATGTGTACATGGTATTTTAACCACGTGAAAATGTATGACAGTGGAATGCATTTAAATATTTTGTCGGGGTATCAAAATATTTACTTATAAATAATTGATAAATTTATAAATTTATAATAAGGCAAATTTATAAATTTATCATATTGTTTATTATTGTGATTTATTGTAATTATTATTTATTTATTTGTATTGATGAAAATTAAGTTAGCCGACATCTAAAAATTTTTATAATTTTTTTTTATCGAAAAAATCATTACAAAAAAATTAAAAAAAATTTTCATTTGTAAAAAACTTGAAAAACTATAAGTGCAATTTTTTAAAAATATTTTTTAGCTCTAATTTAATAAATGAAAAATATTCAAATAATTAAAAACGTCGGCTAACTTTAATGACATTTTGTATTGATATTTTATAGATAGATAGGCATAAAAAAAACTTGACAATATTGTATAGTTGGATATTGTAAAACATACAATACGTTTATGAGCCTTTTCATACAGTTCCTTTCAACATTCAGGTAGTAGGGAATAACGTTCAATGACCTGGAAGAGGCAAAGAGAGAGGCAGAAATGCCTTTTTTTAAGCAGATCAAACGTTTATTTTTTGCTAATTATATTTATTATTATCCCGGATAATAATTATCCATTTAGGTATAAATATAAGCTGTACTAAGTACCGGTAGGCGGTTTTGGTATGAGCTTTAAAAATTTAATCGTATAATTTTAATGGACTTAATTAATGAGATAAGATTATGAAAAATTATTAGTTAATTTAACGAGGCCATTCAGGTTAATTGATAAATAATTGGGGTGATTAATATTGTTAATAATAATTTAATTAATCTGTCCTATTTATAGTTGTTAATAGTATAAATAATAATAATAATATGTGTGCAAAGTTGACAGTTTTAATGAGAGAAAGTTTATGTTGAGATTCTGTTGTTTTTTACGCTGTTTATTTTATTTGCTTTAATTACTGTTTTAGATTTGAATTTGTGAAAATGGAAGATGCTAATTGGTGAGATTTTATGTTTAATGGAGATTGAAACAAGAAAGAGAGAAAAATTATAAAGAAAAATGTCTAAGGAATGTAGATATTTTGTCCAGCATGTTTGGAAAGAAGATTTGTGCGTGAACTGTTTTAAATCACGCGAAGATCATCATAAATTATTAAAGGAGCGCTCGAAGATTTATGTTCCCTCGCCGGAGATATTAAATTTCAAGGTAATTGTCTTTTAATTCCTTCTTATGTTTAATTATACCAAAGATGGCTGATAGGCGGCAATTGTTTCTGTTAATCACACAAATAAATTTATAAATTATCTAATTGTCTCTATCAATGATTAAAATATTTTTGATAAATAATATTAAAAAATGCAGATTTTAATCGCTACGCTCATTGAAATTTAATACTTAACTTTGATTTATTAAGAACGTAAAAAAAATAATGTGATATTGCATAAGTGTAACTAAAGCATTATTTAACACATTAGAAACATCAATAATATTACTTTTGCGTAATATCCTAGCTAATCACTTTGTTTAATTCTTCAAGGTGTTTAAAAACAGTAGTTTTACTTTTTATTACAAATAAACATTTATAAATATTTTTCCATGTCTAATTGTTCATTATATTCAAAGTAAATATATACTTATATATATTAAATTACACTATCTATTAATAAGAGAAAGGAAAACATGATAATAATAAATAAAGTAAAACAAACATTATCAAAAACATTCTTTAGAACTACTTTACGTCATAATTCATTACTATTATTATTATAATTATAATTATAAAAATAATTCTCTACAAATTTAGAGTATCTTAAAATTTATTTTAAGGGATCATTCTGGTTGCGCGGCTCAAAAAAAAAAAACAAACATTCATTATTTTTGTTACACAGAAATTATTATTGATATTGAGATAAAATTAATTCAGCTTTACACATACACTCTTGAATAATACAAAAAAATCTAATTTTATGTTTACATTTTTTATACACAGAAAAAAAAACTTTTTGCACCAAAAAAATTTTAAAGAGGACAAAAATTATTTTGGAGCAAGAAGAAATTTTCTTGGCTCAAGAAACTTTGACTTCATTCAAGAAATTTTCAATCTTCCTGAATATTTTCTTGAGCCCAGAAAATTTACCCTCCAATCAAGAATTTTTTTTTCAATGTATGAATAAACAATAAGTGAATGGAGCTCCTCAGAAAATTGGTATGACGTACATGATAACTTGATAATTCATTTAAAATACAATAACCAAAATTAATTACCTTCAATATATAAGTGGCTATTGTATGAACTGCGGAAATTAGTATTTATTGATGAATAATAAAATGGTTTTATATACAATTTTCAGTCCTAAAAAAATATTAAAAATCAAAATTTTGATTTGGCTGTAGCTGATGCAACATCTATTACTATTTAGAATATGTGATTCATATTTCATTAAGATCGGGTCAGTGATTTCGGAGATATCATGTACGTCAATCAAATAAACATAATTCTAAGATAAACGCGTTATAATTTTTTTTTTTAATTGAAAAAAAATCTTACTTAAAGTCAATCAGCGATACTAGCACCATGCAAAATCCTTTCAGCTTTTTTAAAAATTTGATTTTCTTTCACTCGAAAATCTATATAAACCTCATAAATAATAATAGTTACAGTGGTATGAGAATTAATTTAGCAGATATTTTATAATTTTTAGAATTTTCTTAACAAATAAATTATGGCAAAAAAAAAATTGGCATAAAGAAATTGAAAAAAATTAAAATCTAATTTTTTTGAAGTAACTTTTTGGAACAAATGTATTTGTTAAAAAAAAAAAATTAAAAAATGGTTAAGTGATTGCTAACTTCAATGTCATTAGAGTGGTCCGATAACTTAGAAATTCCAACACATTACTTATAGATATGTATACTTTCGAAAAATATAAAAAAATAATAATAATTTTAAAAAAATTACAAACCAGAATGATTTCTTAATCTAAAACTAGTAACCTTGCAGTCACTATGTGACTATCGTGACTTGTGAACTATAAATAAATAAAATTTTACTGTGTTAAATAATGGCTTTTATTAAATTGCACTGTACTTTCTTAAGGTGTTAGGTCAAAACAACTCAGACAATACAACTTTGACTTTAATAACTCTTTTCTATAAACTCATTCCGGTGTTACACTCGTCAAGAGCTTTCATTTGAGTACCCTCATGCATTTTGATATATTTTTTATACATACATATATATAATACATATAAATATATGAAAAATTGATGTGGGTACTCAAATGAAAGGTCTTGATGATTGTAATGTCGGGGTGAGCTTATATCTTAAAAAATGTCGATAGTTAACAAGATAGCAATGTCACTTCTTAATTATTGACATTTTTAAAGATATAAGCTCATCCTGATGTTACACTCATTAAGAGCTTTCATTTGAGTACCCACATGCATTTTGATATATTTTTCATATATACATAAATATAAAATATATAAATATATGAAAAACTGATGTGAGTACTCAAATGAAAGGCCTCGATAAGTGTATTATCAGGATGAGCTTATATCTTTAAAAATGTCAATAGCTCACAAGATACAAGGTCATTTCTTAATTATGAATCTAGAGATAGAGAGCATTTTCAAATGCAATCTAAATACTTATTATAATAAATTGACTATCGGTGAGAATAATATGAAACCTTGAAAAGGCACAAATTCAAATCAAGATCCTTTCAATTAGACTAAATTTCACTAAAAAAAACCGATTTTATCATATGACTGTCCCGGACCCAAAATTTTTCTTATTCTCTTAATAATATAGATTATTTAAAAAAAATTATAATGTAAATAATTCTATATTTTCAGAGTATTTTAAGAGAAACTGGCAAGCAAACAGAACTTCCTAGAAAAAGTGTTGACTTTCCAGAAGCACTGACAGAAGTAATCGGTTACGGTGGAGACTACATCTACAGCGATGAAGAATCCGAATCTGAGTGCTACGACCAAGAGAAATCAAAACCAGACGAGCATGTGCCAGAAAACGACGAGGACCGTGCACTGAGCAACCTGACGCGCGCAAACACCAACTTCAATCGGACAACAGCGAACATCGTAGACGCGCCATCAGCTCCGCCTTCATCTTCATCGTCATCTTCCTCGCTGTCCACGTCAACGGAGGTAAAAGTATTACCCAACTTGATGCTTGGAACTCCTCAGAAAGGCAACGACGGGAAGAAAACAACCCTCCTGGTATCCGTGACGCCATTCAAGTCCGACAGCGCCGTCGGGCCCGCGAAACTAGATCGAGATTGGCTGGATCGTGACGTGACTGGGAAAAACTGGATAGATATGACCGCAACGACTGCCATAACAGATAAAAAAGCTAAAATAGTGCTCGATAAAATCGTAGACATGCCGCTGATTGAGTCGAATAACTTGATATCGATGACTAAGAAGCTTACTTGTGATAAACCCGAGATTAAATACTCAAAGCCGGTGGATTTGGGCAAGCAAACAGTTGATAAAGGATTTAAAAGCCATAATGAGACGACTAGTAATCATAATCAAGTAATTGTAAACAAAGAGTCTGTAAATAGTGAAGAGATTGCCATTCCTGATTTAGGTGAACGTACTATTGAAGGAGAGTCGACTGTTGTTGAGTCTGAGAATGTTAAAAAGGAGACTAACCACGACGGTGATAATAATAATGATCGAGACAAAAGTATACTTAATGGTAATGGTAATAATAATGATAATAATGATGATAATAATAATAAGAGTAAGAATAAGGATTGTGATGTTAATGACAATAATGTTAATGAGGAATTATTAATGGAAAATAGTAGGGAAGATGCTGGAGCGCCGGATGGTAAGGCTGCGGATGATGAAACCTCGGAATCTTCTTGCTCACTCACTCATGTTTCCACAATACCGCGCAGCTCGTTTCTTCACGGAGAAACTACCAAGTCTGTTAGTAGTTCAAAGTCTGCTGATGATGAAGTGTTGTCAGATAGTTGCAAGAATAAAAATTTTACCACGGAAATAACTTCGAGTGAGGACGATAAGTTGGTTGCCAAGGAAACAGTAAAAACAAAAATTACTGGAAAAAGAAAAAGTCACGATTGCGGCAGCCAAAGACGGCAAGCGCCAAAACCTCCAGATCAAATGGAAGAAGAGTCGCTGAGTACTTTGTTCGCGAGAAACCCTGTGACGAGTGTTAAGTCTGATAGCCCGGTTGTGAGGGAAAAAGAAAAACGGGAGCGAGCTACGTCTTGCAGTCCAAAGTTCAGTCGCACTGAGGATGACGAGTCTATGAATAATCCGACTTATTCTGGTCATATCAATAATGATATTTCTCGAAAAAGTGTTTCATTGTCTGAGTATAGTTTGAATTCATACTCGCGTGAGTCATTAGCGGGTGATAACGCGGTTCAAGACCGAGACAAGAAAAAAGGCAAGTCTAGATTTTCGTTGAAGAAGTTACTGAGGATTGGGGCTTCTAGGAAGGAGATGAATATTACGACTTGCTCGCATACTTTTGCTGAGAGCTTTGATGATGACAGTGGGAGCATTAAAATAACACCCAGTCCAAGTTCAAGTCCGCGAGAGCAAGCTAATTGTAAGTCCAGGCCTGAAATCATTCATCCGCTGGAATTCAATGGCGCGGCTGTTGAAGTATTGCGTCATGACAAGCTAATTAATAGTCCGAATCAATCTTCCGGTCGCACTGACGCCTGTCCTGATAAATCCCGTTACTCCCAGACTGTTGGTAGGTATTTTTTTTTTTATTTTTTTGAAGTCTTGGAATTTTATATTCAATTGTTTGAATTATTTGGTAATTATTTATAAGTGGGGTCAACCCATGCTGAGCCGTGTTAATTTGTAGGTAGATTTCATTGAAATCTATCTATTGCATTGGTCCTCATATCAAAATTACGTCGGAATTTTGCTATAATATCATCTAACTAGTCGAGTATGGCTCAAAAATAGTACTGGTTCAAAAGTTTATAATTAGTCGTTTTTAAACTTTTTATAATTTTTGAATCGGTCGGTCGAATCTGCTCTAATTTTCAGAAAAACTAAATTTATGAAAGTTCTTTTAGATGCCTCAAATCATTTTTTGATCCGTCGATCCGTTTAAGAATTACGAGAGATTTAGAAACTGCTAATTTTACAATTGACAAAGTTTACAATCGGCTAATTTTATAGGTTTCTGCAGTAAGAATTGGCTAAATTCACGTAGCCACAGATTTCTCTTTTTGCTATTTTATGAATGACTGAATTTATAATTGGTGAATTTTCCATTTCGCTAATTTCATTACTATCATTTTTTATTTACAACTAATTTTACAAATGACATTATCAACAAATTTTCAAATTTAGAGTTAATAAACGTTCTAGTTTACAAACTGCTATTTTCCAGTAATATTAAAAACATAAATAGATAGATAATTTTATTAGATTCTGGAGCCAAGGCTCCCTCAGAACCATCATCAAGTATACATTACAATCAGTGTATAAAGTACAGAGTTTTTGATACATCAAATAAAAATTAAAATTAAAATTAAAAACAAATGTAGTAATTAATGGGATAACATGTTAATAGTGCTGTTAAATAATATAATACTTGTGTCATACAAAGCGCAACAACGTTCAATATAACAAATTAATAATTCTGTAAATAATAATCATAGCACAAACTACGGAATAATTCAAAATTCTCAGCTTTTGTAATTTCAGCTGGCAGCGCATTCCAAATGCGTATACCACGAACAAGAAACGAGTTTTCATACATACAACAATTAGATCTAGGTAGTCTTAAATAATTTTCCCTCACATACTTAAATATTAATTTAATGACCACGATTGTATGTATATGGAATATAACGCGGCTTGTGTACACGATAGCACCTACAATTCCAAGCGGATTTAAATGAAACTTGATACACATATTCTTTGAATGAGTTCAAAGATGAGTGAAATCCGTCAATAAGTTTAGAAATGGTAGCTCTTCAAAATTATCAAAATAGTGAAAATTACATTTTCGGTGATTTCATTGATGTATAACTTTCGATTGAAAAGAGATGGCTAATTTTTGATAAATTCATGTGAAAACTTATGAAATCACCTTTAATTTGACGTTTATAACATTAACATTTTGACCATTTTTAGTTATTTTATCAAAGTTAAAAGTGCAATTGAACCATTTTCAGGCAATGTGTAGCACAACCGACTTATGTATGTTATTTTATCAAGAATTCTCAACAGATCTTAATGAAATTAAGTATGCATATTTCTCGAACAATTAGATTGCATGAGCCCTAAAATGAGCGACATCCTTCAATTAGTTCAGAAATAGTAGCTCTTCGAACTATCAAAATATATGTAAAAATATTACAAGTATCAGACATTATTAATTCATTCTGTGAAATCTACCTTCTATTTCGGGAGTGGCCGATAGGCGTTTTTTTTTTTTTCAATTCATCAATTTTTTTTTTAAATTATTCGTTTCATTTGTACTGTTCAGAAAAAAAAAAAAATTTTAAATAGAAATTTTATTCAAAAACATGAAAGCCAAAGTTGAATTTTTCAAAATCCTTAAAAAAACTAATGAACGCGATAACTTATAAAATTTAATAAAATAAACTTTAATTTACATACCTCACTATCAGTCTAGGCCAAAAATTACCTACTTTCTCAGACAGATTTAATGAAATTTTAGGTACTTTTGCATTCGTTTTGATGTCATTGTTTTATTGTAACAGAAATTGTATATTATTAAATTATTATTAATATTATTTTGTAAAAAATACGTATTTTTTTTATTCGAGAAATCTACTTCAATTTCGGCTGCTGAATGGTCTTTTTTTTTTTTCATTTAACTTTCAAAAAAAGATAAAATAGAAATTTTATCCAAAAACATGAGCCAAAATTTTTTCCAACTTTTAAAGGCCAAAACGCTATCGAAATCTTTATTTTTTTCCTTTCACGGCATTTTTTCATAAATGCGCCGTAAAAATAAGCAGAAAAAAAAAATGTTAATTTCTCACCTAGTTGATGCCCCAAAATGAGGTTGACCCCACTTGTAAATAATAACCAATTATTTTTTTATTTTCATTTATAATAAACAATGAAATTGTTTTAATTAGCACACTTGGGAAAGCCACCATCACCGCCGAAGAATATTCAGCCTTCAAAAAATTACTTACACTCACTCATGAAGAAAACAAATCCCTCGCCACCGCTGAAAGACCACAAGAAACTAGACGACAATTGGAAAGCTTCAAATAATTTGACAAACGATGCTATTTACGCAAACCTAGGTAAGTTTCGGCCAATACAGTGCAATTGATATAGCCTAGTACTTAAAAAAATATTATTAATGATGTTATAATCTAGCTGTTGATCGGGATGTGATGCTAAATCGCTTTTAACGTTATATTTTTGTTAATCAAAAAGCTGTTACAAGTTTCCCTTAAATTACTTCCTATTTTTCTAGTCCTTTTTCTCCATTTGTTATTTTTTATATTATATAAATATATTAAATATAAAATTATTTTGTCACAATTAAATTTAAATATCCAATAATAAATAATATCAAGGGGAAGAGGAGTCTCTAAAAAATTCTAAATTATTTTTTATAGAGAACACGCTTTAAAATTGTCGAATTTTTTCATCTTTTTTTTTTTTTTTTTTGTAATAAACTGCACTGTTAAAAAAATTATAAAACTATTTTATAATCACAATATTTTTATAAAAAAATAAAATTAATGCTTGAAAATAAAATTTATCTAAACAACACACTATTTATATTTAATCTTACTTTAAGTTCACAAACTAAAAACATAAAACCTATTTTTTTTTTTTTTTTTTTTTTATATATTACGAAAAAAGATTGGTGATAAATGGGTAAGTTATTAAGTGCATGAAGTAATAGCTTTGGCACACGTTTTACGCAGCAACGTAGTAGAGTTTACTGATACCTATAATAAATATTAATAATTAATTAATTAATATCATTACAATAAGTAATTAAATAAAAAAAAACAAAACAAACAAAAAAATGCCTTGTGTGTCATGGTGTACTAACCCTGGCGCTTGATTCCTTGTGGCATTTTTGGATGCTGTCCTGCAGCGGCGGAGGATGTTGCAGGTGAGGTGAGGAGTGGCATTGCACCCTCTAAGCCTCAGCGAACCTCCAGCATGAGGAGTGTACAATCTCAGTCAGTCAAGAAGTCTGATGATGATGATACGAGTCACAACGCCAATATTGACACTGTCGATTCATCTCGGGTAATTTTATTAAAAATTAAATTAAAAATTAAGGGGAAACACCACTGTGACGATTGAAAAAAAAAAAAGGTGATTTTCGGGAATTTTTTTGACAGGGAAAATAAAGGAATTTGGGGATCGGATTTTTTTTTATTTTATTAAGGGTACATTAAAGATTATTATACTAAATTTTTATTAAAAAATATTTAGGTACTAGAAAAAATTTCCCCCTCCATAGTCGCATCGATAACTCAAAAACGGATCATCTGAAAATAAAAACCTAAATTAGTTTTTAATCAACAAGAATGTAGTTATTATTGCACGTACGGAATTTTGAAAATTTTAACTTTTAAAAAAGTAACGACTCAAAATTCCGTACGTGTAACGATAACTACATACTTACTGATTAAAAAGCAATTTGAATTTTTATTTTCAGATGATCCGTTTTTGAGTTATCGAGCACGTACGGAATTTTGAAAATTTTAACTTTTAAAAAAGTAACGACTCAAAATTCCGTACGTGTAACGATAACTACATACTTACTGATTAAAAAGCAATTTGAATTTTTATTTTCAGATGATCCGTTTTTGAGTTATCGATGCGATGGAGGGGAAAATTTTTTCTAATGCTCCACGAGATTGTTAATAACTTTGTAATAATTAAATATTTTTTAATAAAAACTAGCAACCTGCAAGTTTTTATTAAAAAATAAATTTTTAAAATAACAGTGCTATCACAGAATCAATTACAAATAATTTAATGAACAAATGTGACCGAAAAAAATTTATAGAACCAAAAAATTACTAAAAACTCCTTCAAAAAATTGACTACTAAAAAATATATAAAACCAAAAAGCACTAATTATTATCAAGACCTTTCTGATGATACCAAATTAAACTATAAAAATTTCTTTAAAAATAAAAATATGCTCGTCACAAAATTTTCCTTTCTCTCTCAATTATTTAAATCATAAATAAATATCGCTAAAAAATATCAAACCCAAATTACGATAAAGATATACCCGTTATTAAATTTTTCTTAGTCTCTTAATTATATAAATTTATTTTTGACATGGACAAAATAAAATAAAATAAATAAACAAATTTTGTTAATCGCTGAATTCGATTCTATATATAACTACTTCGAAAACTTATCATAATAAATAAAATATTTTGTTTTATGATTTAGAGTCATTAAATTAATTACTTTGATGGACTTTGCTTTGAGACAACGTTATTTATTTTTACTTTATTATTATCATTTCCATTACTGTTTATAACTTTTATTATTATTAAGTATTAATTTATATGTAAGGCCCTTAGGGAGCTAAGGCTTCAGGGTCTAAAAATTTTGATAAATAAATAAAATATTTTAAAAAAGCATATGAAACATTGAAAAGGCACTACTTCAGATCTCGACCTTTCCAACGATACCAAGTTTAACTTGTCACTAAATTTCGCTTATTCTCTTGATAATATAGATTTAGGGTAATAATCTTTAATGTACCCTTAATAAAATAAAAAAATCCGATCTCCAAATTCCTTTATTTTCTCTGGCAAAAAATTTCCCGTAAATCACCTTTTTTTTCGACCATCACAGTGGTGTTACCCCTTAAAGTCTAAAAAATTAATATTAATTTATATTTCAATCCAGGGAGAAGAAAATCAAATTAATAATTATTTTAATTCTACCGAAAATGATTTAAATTTAAAAAAAAATGAAGACAATGAGCGACAATGGAAAAATCATTTCGAGTCATGTCTCCGACAACGACGAGGTCGTAATATTTTCCACCGGAATCTTGAAGATAATTACAACGCATTGGTTATCGCAAATCATGAATCTCTTGCTCAATTATTCCAACAAGTATGTTACCAAACGTTTATAATAATTACTCAATCATTATTATTTATTATTATCACTATAAAAATAATTTTCAATTATTTAGTTTTTATTTTGTTTTGTTTGGTTCATTAGTTAGTGCAAGAAAATCAATTATCAGTTTCATGTATCAAGAGAACGAATCTCCAATTAAATGAATTTAATATAAATGTAGATACGATTAAAAAAATCGGCTGCAGAATTTTTTGTTCAGCCACCTGGAATAGCAATCAAGTTATACTGTGCTTCTCATCTGGCGGTCTAACTTCTCTCCCGACTTATAGGGAATTTTTTATCGTTCCTTTGGTTGAATTCGTCGACTCACTTCCAGATAATTTATTCAACAATTATACCGAGGATATTTCACACGAAAATGGTAATTAAGTAATAATCCTGCAATAATGCAATTGTTTGTTGAATATTTTAAAAGGTTCAATATTAATTATTATTATTATTATTATTATTATTATTATTATTATAAATATTAATTATCATTTTTTACTTTTATCCAGTGACTGTATCCGTTTTAACGTACACCCAAGTGGCAACTATTTCATCTTACGTCACGTCAATTCGTCAAAATTGCGAAAATATCTTTCAACAAAGTTGTCTAGTACTTTTGCAATTGGTAAATGCATTGAAGAACCTTCAGGCGAGGGGTATTGAAGAATTTCCAAAGAGTTTAAGTAACGTCGTACTTTGCCAAGAGGAAAAGACCTTATCCTGGCGATTATATCTTCTTCAAAAGTAAACTTGCTTTCACAATTCATTTTTTTGATTATTATTTATAAGTGGGGTCCATTATTTTAATTTTCATTTTTTTTAATGAAATTTTTATTTGATTTTATTCATTTATTTTTTTTTTTTTTTTAAAATACATAAAAAAAAGTTGATTATCACAATTTTAATAAATTTTCAAAAAAATTTATAAATTTTTTAGAAAATTGTGATATTTAAATTTTTTTTTTTTTTCATCAAATTGATCAATTATTTTTTTTACACTAATTTTTCATAAAAAAAATATATCAAAAAAATCTGGAAATTGGTTTACCGTGCAGACAGACCCTAACACTTCCCGCTGTTTGAATTTGAAGCGCCTTAAAATGTGTTTTTTGGATAATATTTGAGCTTTTCAAGCTTAAAGCATAGTTTTCCATATTTTGAGCTCTTTGAGCTCAAAAAATATTTATTAAGCTATATTTTGAATGAGTGATTCGATTTTTTTTTTTCGAAAAGTATTGACGCAGTTTTTAAAGCCCAAAAAGAAATATATAGGTTTAATTATAATAAAGTTAGCCGACATTTTTAATTTTTTTATTTTACTTTATTTTACTTCTATTTTTAAAAAATTTCACTTATAGTTTTTCATGTTTTTTACATGTGAAAATTTTTTTTAATTGTTTAATTAAAATTACTTCAATAAAAAATTTCTATAAATTTTCAAATGTCGGCTAACTTTATTTTCATATCGGTTTATATTGATAGGTTGAGAATTCTTGAAGATATCTTAAAAAAATTCCGAAAAACAAAATTTTGTGAGTTTTTAAATAACTATAACTTTTGAATCCGCCGTTCGATTTTTATTTTAAAAAATGCATTCGACGCCGTATTTTAAGCACAAAACACGTATGTACGGTTTTATTATAATTTTTTCAGTATCATAATTTTTTACCGAATTATAGCAAAAAATAGGGTGGACCCCACTTGTAAATAATTACCATTTTTTTCCAAGTATAAAATTCTAAAAATAAAAATAAATTTTATTAATTATTGATCTTAATAATTGCAGCTTACATATCGACGTTAATGATGGTGAAGATTGCGCATCTCTGTGTCAATGTGCCTTGGAAGCTCTAAAAATGCTGGATTTAACGAACAAATTTCCTATTATTAAACAACTATTAATCCGTGAGAGAGCCGTCAGCCTTTCTCAGGTAATTGAATAGTTATTAGCGCTAATTACTGATATTAATTTATAATCATAAATTACAACTTATAATTAATTAAAAAGGTAAAAGCGGTGCTGGAATACTCACTGTGGGGTCCACCGCATTCAGTCTTCGGAGCCTTAAAGGAACGCGAAGTTATTTTGCAGCGATGGCTGGATCTTGAACGCGCAAATCTTCTTCACGCTCTAATTAAAAAGCACACACCTCTCACAGTTTCAGATGAATACCAACTGGCATTTTTGATCCACACAACTGGAAAAATAATGTGCGAAGCATCTGTGCTTCTTGACCAACAAAACTCTGACAGCAAAATTTAGCTTTAAATATTTATATATAAATTATGCTCAACTAAAATTGTTACTGAAATTATATTGTTATCTTTATCTGTTAATTTATTATTAATTTCTTTTAATCATTTTATATCAAATAAATGACTGATTTATAGTTTATATATATATATATATATATATATAGTACAAGTTTCAATTGTTTAAATCGATTACTTTAAATATGAACAACTATTCCGATTTATAGCATAACTTATAATTAAAAGTTTATTATTTGCAGTATTTATTTTATTAAAAATTAAGTTTTCCGGCCTCCACGTCTTTTCATTGAAGACGTACATTGTGGACAATACCATTTTCCTTTTGGTGATGCTGTAATACCCACACATGGATAATGAAACCATTCACGGGGGCACTAAAAGAATAATATTATTATTTTTAATAGTAATATTAAAATTAATAACAATAATAATAATAATAATAATAATAAACACTATTCAAAGATTGGTGATTTTACTTATTAAAGAGCATTTATTATTTTAAGCCAACTTACCTGATCCGATTTGATTCTATTCAACTTTTTATCAATTAATTATTTCACCACAATATTGTCAGTATGAGCACTCATACCATCTTCGGGTGAATATATAATAGTTAAAAATTGTTAAAATTGATTTTTAAGACAAATTGTGTAAAGATGTAATCGTTTACTCAGTGAAATTTTTTTTCGGTAACCAAGTCTTGGTCTGAGCGGTCCGAATTATTTTTCAAGTTACCAAAAAAAGTTTCTATGAGTGCTCATACTGATAATATTGTAGTGAAATTAATAAATAAAAAACTGAATAGTCTACCATCAAATAGGATCAGGTAAGTTGGCTTATAATAATAAATGTTCTTTAATAATAATATTATAAAAAATTAGAGAAAAAATTTTTGCATTAGACTGGACAGCCAATAAACTGAAAATATTAAGTATTATAAAAACCAGTCTTTAGAAAAAATAAATATTAAAAGAATAATAATAATAATAATAATAACTAATATATAAAAATTGAAAAATTGAATTATGTATAAAAAAATGAATAAAAATAATTACATCAGCATTATCACAAGCAACCATATCGCCATAGGATACTTGGTCACAAATACAGTAACGTGGTTCATTTGGATCATAAGTCCAGTCAGGATTATCAGGATCAGTAATGGCAGTGGCTACTGGTGTGGTTACAATTGATGGAGATACTGCTGGCTGAGCAGCTGCTCCAATTACGCTTGAGCTCGATACCGTAGTCACTTTTCTATTTAATTAAAAAAACCCATAAGTAAAATCATGTAAAATTAAAAATTGAATTAATTAATTAAGCTATAAATCATTTTTTAATTCTGGGTATTAACTTTTTGTGTTTTTTGGTGGTCTCCTGTATCGCAGCGATGGCAGTTTGCGCGGCTCCAGCGAGTTCTTTGCTAAATTCAGCGGCGTGGACACCACCACCTGTGTTTATTGCCTCGTAGCTGGCCTTGAGACTGGCAGTTCGTCGGCCTTGCTGCATCTGCTGGGTTGCCGCGATGGCCTGAGAAGCTGCAGCCGCGATGGCGTTCCCACCAGCACCTATGTGTCCTAAATTGTAGCTGACGTTGGTAACTGGATTGACGCTAGCAGTCGGGGGAGTCAGATTAGCAGCTGCTATCAGCGTTCCTGAGTTGGCTGAGGTTGGACGAGGCTCGGATATACTTGAGGTCAATTTTTCAGCGGCTAAGCGCTTCTCCACTGATGCTGTTGATGCGTTTGAATCTCGTCGCTTTTCAGATCGCGCTGAAATTTTTTTATTAGAAGAATAATTAGATACTAGCAACCTTGCAGTCACTTTGTGACTTGTAAATTATAAATAAATAAAATTTTGCTTTATTAAATAATGACTTTTGTTAAATTGCACTGTACTTTCTCAACTATTGACGTTTCTAAAGATATAAGCTCATCCCGATGTTACAATCATCAAGAGCTTTCATTTGAGTACCCACATGCAGTTTTGATATATTTTTCATACATACATATATATAATATATATAAATATATGAAAAATTGATGTAGGTACTCAAATGAAAGGTCTCGATGAGTGTAATGTCGGGGTGAGCTTATATCTTTAAAAATATCATTAGTTGACAAGATAGCAATGTCAGTTCTTAATTATTGACATTTTTTAAAGATATAAGCTCATCCTGATGTTACACTCATCAACAGCTTTCATTTGAGTACCCACATGCATTTTGATATATTTTTCATATATACATTAGGGTGTCTCGAGTGAAAAAATGTTTGTTTTTGATGTTTTAAGAGCCCTCACCAAAGGGCAGCTCAAAAAAAAATTTTTAAGAGGTCACTCCAAATTTTTCAAAATTTCAAAAATCGAATTTTTTTTTTTTTTTAATTTTTTTTCTCGTTACGGTATAATTTTATAGACTAAAAAAAA